CCATCTCTGGTTTTTAACAACTAACGTCGGTCCTTGTGGATAAGCGTTTTCTCGATAACTTTGCCTTCGGTCGACTTCGGACGTCTTCGGAAGGCTTCGGACTTCTTCGGGAATCTTCGGAAATGATCGTGTCGTCTTCAAAAATTCCAGCACTCCCAGGATAAAAATCTCACGCTTATATCTTAGAAAAAGTTGGCAGGTATACTACTGCAGGGGAAAAAGATGCTATCACTGCTCTTCAAGATTGCATTACAGATATTAGAAGTTGGATGATCGCAGATAGGTTAAAACTGATTGATGACAAGACGGAATTTATGATTACTGGCACACGCGTTCAATTGGATAAAGTTAATGTATGTGAAATTGTGGTGGACCAAGCAAAAGTCCCAGCTGTAACGATTGTTAGGAACCTCGGGACGTGGCTTGATACGAACCTCAACATGTCTGCACACATAAATGAAACGTGCCAAGCTGCTATTTATCTTCTGTATCACATTAAAAGCATTAGCAGGTATTTCAGTTATGATGACAGGAAGTCTATAGTTCAAGCAGTTATAATGTCACGTATAGATTATTGTAATAGCCTCTTGGTTGGTGTTCCATCCACCCAGCTAAAATTACAGCGTTTACAAAATGCAGCAGCTTGCGTTGTTAGCAACATTGCAAAGTATGATCACATTACTCCTACACTTGTTAATTTACACTGGCTTCCAGTAATGTATGGGTAAATTTTAAGATAGCAATGCTTGCTCATAAGTGTATCTATGGCAATGCACACGAATACCTTAAGGATCTAATAAAAGTTAAGAGTACCACCAGATATAATCTTAGATCGGATGGGGAGATGTTACTTGAGGATTATAGTGCACGATCAAAGAAGACACTTGGAGACAGGACTTTCAAAGTAGCCGGCCTAGAATCTTCGGGTTGATTAGGGGTTCAACTATTAAGGCATGCGCACTGGATCCACTTCCAGCGAGTATCATGCGGAAATGCTATTCTAGTCTTGTCCCTATATTTAGAAGGGTGATTAATTTGTCATTGTCATCTGGATTGCTGCCCAAGGAACTTAAGGTGGCACTGCTATCACCTATTCTTAAGAAATTAAATGCAGACTTTGAGCAGTTTAGTAATTTTCGCCCTGTGTCAAATTTAAAGTTCCTATCTAAATTGATAGAGAAAACAGTGTTTGTGCAATTGAATAGCTATCTTGGCGAAAATGATCTACACGAGCCTCTTCAATCAGCGTACAAGATTTTTCACAGCACCGAGACTGCACTTCTCACACTTACAAATGACATTATGCTGTCATTGGATAAGGGCGAGAATGTTTTCCTTGTTTTATTGGATCTGTCGGCAGCATTTGATATTGTTAACCATTCCTTGCTGCTGGCACGACTGCAAAAATCATTTGGCATCAGAGGAACTGTACTGCAATGGTTCGATTCTTATCTTTCTCAAAGAACTCAGTTCGTAAACATCAATGAGGCGAATTCTACGGTACGAGATCTTCCCGTGGGTGTTCCCCAAGGTTCAGTTCTGGGACCTGTTCTCTACCTTCTGTATACTGCGCCACTTGCTAAAGTGATAAGATCTTATGGCTTAGATTATCATCTATACGCCGACGATACTCAGTTATACTTTGCATTCAAATCGGTGGATGTGGACGCTGCTAAATCGAGGGTCGAGAACTGCATTTCTGCAATATGTCGCTGGATGGATCTCAACGAATTGAAGCTAAAACACGACAAGACGGAGGTGTAGTGTTTCACGGTCAGTGAAACATCCGGATTTAACCAAAATAAATGCACACAACAACAGATTCAACTCGACACTTGACCATGTCCTTTTTAATTACCCATAACTCATTTCGACCGTACACAATTACATCATCAATACTACAATCTCTCCCTTTTTCGAATAAATTGTCCAGTCCGGTTTCTTAAACAAAATAACAATACAAACTATAACAATCTCTCTAACTCAAGGAAAAATGATCCAATGTCCAAGACTTAAATCAATACAAAATGACATTTTCATAGAGGTGAAATGTCCTTCGCAAGAACTGTCCATTGTGTAAACAAAGTCTTAACCCAGTTCATAATCTTTTAGTCTCTCAGGTTGACGATTGTGCCTAGGCCGCAACGCATAATGCTGAGTTGAAACTCAGGACACCTAAGAGTTCGGATCTTTACACTTGTGCAGAAACCATCAACTCAATTGCAAGTCAAGTCATATTTTCCCAAGAACCATCACAAAAGGGCAAAGCGATCAAGTTTTTCACTCCCTTTGAATGTCATGGATTGAACGAACAGTCAAATGATTGCCAAACAAATATATATTAAAAACATAACAAAACACCTTTAATTATTGCTCATGCCTTATTGTCTGAATTCATCACGCATGCATTAAACTTCCTCTGCATTCCTAATCTCTCTTGAACAAATGGAAACAGCAAGAACTGCAGTCACGAACTATCTTCTTCTCTTTTTCATCGCAC